TGGGAAGCTCAGGAATTGGTGGATTTTTTGTTCGGACTTTTCACCTAAAATTAGAGTAATCTGGGCGGGGTCCTGTTGAGGGGCTGGAGATGACCATTTGGGGAGGTCTGGGGGGAGGGATCTGGCTTTTGGAGCTCCACAGGAAGGGATCTGGCCACTTTCCTGCCCTGAGGGTTTACAAGTATACAAAGTTTACAACATTTACAAAGAACACAAAGGAGTACAAAGAATACAAAGGGAAGGCTTTCTCTGCCTCTTGAGTCCCTTGAGTCTTTGTGAGTAGCCAACAGGATCCTGTTGCTCAGGTGCTCTTTTCTATACCCAAGCATGTGAAAGTAGCTTTTATTCACCCAAAGTAATTGCTGTCTTGGAGGCTTATTGCCTCCATCTGCTAACCTAGGGCTAGTTCTGAAAGCTTCTCGCCTTACAATCTTGTAAAAATTTTAATTTTTTATTATTTATTTACTTATTTATTTTGAGAAAGTTTTTCTCTGTGTAGCCTTGGCTGTTCTAGACTCTCTTTGTAGACCAGGCTGGCCTTGAATTCTTAGAGATCCACCTGCCTCTGTCTCTTTAAGTGCTGGGATTACAGGTGTGAGCTACTGTGCCTGGCTCATACAATCTTATCTAGACCTATAGTGTTTTCAACCTCAGAGACTTGCTACTGAATAAGCTCACCCTTTCTTATTCTTTGCTAGTTGGTTCAACTCTTCTGGGTCCTCTCCTAGCTGACTGCTTCAATCTGGCTTGGTCTCATACCAACTTTGGCGATATATTCTAATCTTCTGGTTCCTTCTTATTCTCTGGCTCATTCTGTCTTCATCTGTGTCTAGCTTGTTCTCTCTTCAACCTGCCTCTGTAAAACTCTTTCAAAAAAACCTCCTCTGTCTCTGTCTCTGCACTACTCTCTGGCTTCAAATGCCTCTGCAGTCCTGCACTGAACTCAACAAATGAACTAACTTGGCTGCTTCCTTCTACAAACTTTACCTTCACTGTTTTGAGATTAAAGGTGTGTGCTCAGAGTGTGCCTGTATTCCAGCCAGAGTAGCCGTGTTGCTGGATTAAAATCCCTCTACATCTTCCCCCTTTCTATTTAAGCGAAAAATTGTACACAATTTAATATATCAGAAACAATTATCAATCCCCAAAATTTAACAGCCCAAATGTCCTTATGAAGTTCTGCTGATGTATTGGTCCTTCATAACTGAAGTCCTGATCATCTGTCTTCAGCAACAAGGTTTTCCAGTCTGATGAATCATCTGTCCTTCTTCAGCTGCTTTGTTGTTGTCTCTATGGGGATAGGGAGGTCTGCTTTCTGCATCATCTGCATTGCTGTCCTTCTGTGTTCCTTCCCTCCTTGAGTCATGCCTTTCATGTGGAAGCTTCTCTTATTCAGATCAAATCTTTATCAATTTTAATGGAACCCATAGTCTTTCTTGTGGAAATATAAGCAAAACCTCTTCCCTAACGTAACACATTCACTGAGTTCCATTCTGATGTTAAAACATCTTTTAAAGTATACAGGTTGATCTCATTCAGTAGTTTCCCCCTACACTCCAGTATCTTTCAGCTAATCTTATTCTCCCTTTAACAAGGTACAACTAGATCTTCATGAATGCACACATGAACTAGACATTTAAGCAGTTGCTTTTCAACTGCTTCAACATTTAAGCAGTTGCTTCAACCCAGGTCCACACTAGTGAGCCTGGCTCTATGCCAGTAAGGCAGACTTCTTACCCATTGTCAAAGGTCTGCCTATCTTGATCCTCAATTTCATTAGGCACCCTAGGTTCACAATTAAGCATTTTTGTTTTCTTACTTTCTCTATCTCGTCTCTCAAGCCTTTGTACTATCATAGCTAATTTTCCTTCTTGTACAGCTATTTTTTCTACCTTTTAAAAAAGGAAATATGGGGCAGAAGAGATGGCTCAGTCGCTAAGAGCATTAGCTGCTCTTCCAGAGGTCTTGAGTTCATTTCCCAGCAACTTCATGGTGGCTCACAACCATCTATAATGGGATCTGGTGCCCTCTTTTGGCACACAGGTATACATGCAGATAGAGCACTCATCTATAAAATAAAAAAAATTAAAAAATATATTAAAAATTTAAAAAAGAAAATATATGGGCTGGAGAGATGGCTCAGAGGTTAAGAGCACTGGCTGCTCTTCCAGAGGTCCTGAGTTCAATTCCCAGCAACCACAGGGTGGCTCATGACCATCTATAATGAGATCTGGTGCCCTCTTCTGGTGTATATGTAATTAACAAAATAAATCTTAAAAAAAAAAAAAGGAAATATATAAAGATTGCAATTGAAAGTAGGGAAGAGTTTGCTCCAGTGGTCACAGTTGCAATAAGTAGTGCTATGGCTTTTTCAGTAACATTTCTATCCTCTCATGTCCTAGCCTTGCTCTCAAGGGAGTTGAAATGGAGTTTTCCATTTTTTAATACAGGAAGAGTCTGTCTGTATAATTAAGATTCTCTTTTGGGGTGGCTTATTGTAATTCAATGATGATTCACTGTCTCTGAGGCTCTTGCATTGTTCCTTTGGGCTTTAAGGCTCCAGCTGCTCTGGGGTCTCCAGACCCTCTCTGGGCATTCAGCTGAACTCAAAGAACCGATGCTTCCTCTGGAAACAATCTCAAGCGAATTTCTCCTCTGCAGCTCAGATGTCTTCTGCTTTCTACAAAGTTGGTGGATTTTTTCTTCCAAAAACATTGTTTTTTTTTTTTTTTTTTTTCTTCCAACCACATTGAACACCAGATGCTAAAGTAAATTTTAGTTACGTGATGTAAATGTTGTCTTGGAGGCTTTCATCTGCAGGGAGCTGAGTCGCCTGCTGCAGTGGAGCCTGTCACAGCAGCACGCTGCCTCAGCAGCAGCCCTCAACCACCGAGGCAGAGATTGTGCCCCAAGCTGCAGTGGCCACCCACGCAGTCTAGATGACCAAGCCGTGGTGACCTGCTGCTGACCCCGTGCCCCCAGCAGCAGTGAATCCAGGCAGCCCATTGCAGCCCACTATCTCCCCCAACAGCTGTGCACATAAACCCCCAAGAGCTATGCCTAGCCCTTAAGCAGTGGGCAACTGAAGCTTAAAGTGGCACACTGCCACTCTCCTTCCTGTCTCAAGGTAGTCAGGCCCTCCTGCCCTGGGGCTTTCGGGATGACATGGAGGCTCCAGTCAGCGCCTCAGCGGGAGCTGTCCATGGTGACTGTTCCTGCCTCAGCCTACTGCTATGGGAACTGACCTTTCCTGCCTCAGAATGCCTACTGCCCCCACCATGGAAGCTGTCCATGACAATGTTTCCTGCTTCAGCCTACTGCCTTCACAGTGTTCCCCAGGAGGGCCTGGAGATGGAGCCCAGGCAGTCAGGCAACTAGGTAAGCTGTGCCTGAGCCATAATGCCACCCCAGACTCCCAACCCTGTGCCTTGGTCCTTCAGTCACACTGCAGTGACCGGGGAAGATGCTGGATGGAGGCTGTGGGGCAGAGAACAACTTGTCCTACTGCAGTTTAGGGTCAGACTGATAGCTCGTGTCCAGAAACACAATTGCAACTGTGGGTAAGATGACTCCCGACCCGTCTAGCTAGTATTCTAAGGTCATGAGGCTCATCTGAAAGAAGACTTCTGAGCAACTACAACTGCACTGACTTTCCTTTCCTATGGTCTTACAGGCTTGTGCCTCTTGGTGCAGTTATGAAACTGCCTAAGCCCCTGACACGGATCCTTTATGGCAGGGGGGAGCTCTGACTGGTAGCTGGAGGTCAGGTGAGTCAGATCTCATTGGCGGTATGTTCAGCTTCACTGTTTCTCCAAGGCCCAAGTAAGCCTTGGGCAGGATACCCCAGTAACACAGTGCCCTGACACAGATGCAAAAGGAAACCAAAGTGATAGGAAATGTGTTGGTACCAAGACATTTATTACATCATAAAAAGTCCATTGTTGTCATTTCCCATATGTACATGCTCCTGTGGGCAGACCCCCTCATCGAGTCCTACCTGTCCAACCTCCATGGTGCCAAGCAACTCCAAACTGACCAACTATTTAATGAAGGAAAAGGAATTGGAGGAGGTGGCCCAGGGCTGATGGGACTGGATGGAGAGAGGAACAAAGTGCAGAGTGGTTGGGCTTGGCTCTTAATGCTTAACCTGGCAGGAGGGGCACATGGCAGGCACTGCAGGGTTGGCACTGCAGGGTTGGCTCTATGCCTCCCCAGGGCTGCCAGGCTGGAGGCAGAGGCTACAGGTTATGCCTGCATCCACTGTCAGCTTGGAAGCTCAGGAATGACTGGCAGAGGAAGAGTCTCACAGCCTGAAGTGGATCCCAGCTGGGACTCTAAAAGTTCTCATTTCCCCCATCAAGTAGTAGCAACATCAGCTTGCTTTGGGCCTGTAGATTTCTGTGGCCCCTGAGACTGGAAGCAGGGCCTAGAATGCCTTGTGGGAAGGAATGGTCCTGATCTCTCAGGGACCTGCCTTAGTTGACTTCAGAGGTGGGAATGGGGTCTGTAGGGCGGGGTGTGGCTAAGAGAGGCACCGGAGAGGTGGCCTCAATAAGTGCAGGGTTCAGGATGATGGGCAGGGTCATGGGTGGCACGCCCACCTGCAGTGGGGAGGTCAAGGGTTGTAGGATTAGTGGGGGCTGGGCTAATGGGGGAGGTCCTTCTGGGACAGGACTCAGTCTGCTGGGGCTAGAGGCCACTGGTGAGCCAGGGGAGCTGCTGCTGGCAGCTCGGTTGCTCTCAGGCTTCTCCGAGTCTGTGTAAGCAGAGCAAAGGCAGTTAGAGTCAGACTTTCTGGTTGGCATGAGACAACTCTCAAGCTTCTTAGTGAACTTCTCAAATCTATATTCCTCCCTCTTCGTCTCCCACACTAAAAACGTTAGATGCCTCCTCTTAAAACTCAAGCCATTTATAGAATTGGTTGCCAAACAATATAAGGTATAACAAAAGGCATTCATTCATCTTCAATATTAAAAAAATAACTCATTTTAGCATTCAGCTACCTTGTCTCTACCTTTATCTTCTTCACTAAACTCAGTCAGGCTAATTTTGGTCTGGATGTTTCTTGCATCCTTGATAGGCAGCCTCTGTATATTCATTACAGGTCCCTCACTTGGCCCTCTCCTCCAAGCCTGAAAACCTAAGCAAGTACCTCATATCACAGTGTATTTGGTCCTAGTGCTTCCCATAGGAAGAGCAGGCAAATAGGATTCTCACAGTGAGTCCTTCCCAGTCTCCCAGCCCCATCTTAGCAGTAATCCTAAGCTATCCTGAGCATCACTCTCTCCAGATGACCAGCCCTGACGAACTCACCACAAGCCCCCACTTCTGAGGGTATCTCTGGGGGAGGTGGATTGCCGGGCATCCTGGGATCACCAGCAGCAGGACTCAGGTGGGCAGAGGCCAGAGGTTTTTGGCTGGGAGGTTCTGTGAGCACGGGGTCTAAGGCAGAGAATCCAGATGGCAACTCTTCAGTGCTTTCTTTCTTACAGGATCCTGGCTACTCACCAGGCTTCATTTCTCCCCCTCTCTGAGACAGAGTCTCAGGTATTCAAGGCTAGCCTCACATTCACTGTGTACCCAAAGATGGCCTAACTCTGTGCTGTCTTGCTTTCACCTCCTAAGTACTGGGGACTACAGGTATGTACCACAAGACCAATGGGAACCTGTTACTCTGGCCACTGTCCAGTGAACAGAGAAAATTCAGCTCTGAGGATTCCTTGTAAGATTAGACTAGGCCCCCTACCCTGGATGACAGTCTGCTTGAAGAGCTCATCCCGTAAGTGTGGCAAAAAGCAATCAATGCGCTCCCAGGTGATCTCCCAGAGAGCAGAGGGACCACCTCCTCTTGCATCTGCACTGTGGAAAATCTCTGCTGTGTCCATCACCAGGAGCATGTTCTTCAGAGACTCAGGGATGGCTTCTGACTGCAGGCAGCAATGGGACAGAGAACACGAAAAAGCTAAGTTGGAGGCAGCCACCTTGGGACAAACAAGTCTGCCCAGCGTGTGGAAGAGGAAGTGCTCAGTGGGAACTGGGTTAAGGCTGAACATACCAGCAAATCACTGGAACCTGCATGCATGTACTTGTCCATGAAGTCCAGAATGGTGAGCCACAGGGCGGCGAAGGTGGACAGCGACAGCAGTGGAGACAGGTGCTGCAGGAAGACCTAGAGCCCACCAGTCAGCCCCTTTTAGCCAAGGGAAGGGAGCAGACAAACCTTCTATGGCTCTCTTCAAAGCTGAGGGAAGCTGGCCCCAACTTGCAAGTATTCAATTGGAGATTACTCTGAAATCCAGAACCCCCTGAATCCCTGGGCAGCCTCCACAGCTGGGGGTTCTGAGCACTTACATTTCATCTTTGGGCCCTGTGAGAAGGCATGGCTTCTCTCTGTGGGAAAAGGCAGGGACAGGGAGAGTAGGTGGGAGCAGGGTGGTGAACAATACCTTTGAGAGCAGTGTGGAAGCCCTCATCCGGGTCTCCTCCATCCCGCCCACATCTGCAGGACTGATATTCTCTAAAAGCTTGGTCAGTAGAGGAAACAGCACCTGGCAGGTAAGAATCCAATGTCACATTAGCCCAGTTGGTTGGGCAACCCTGCCCCAGGAAGCTGGGCCTGAGCCGATGGGTATAGAACAGCGTAGAAGATCTGATCAGATGGCTAGCTGGAGCTCTTTAGGTTGCCAAGCTCTTTCTGCCTTGTGACTTGACCCTTGTCTTAAGACCAGTAAGAAGTCCTACCTTGTTAAAGCAGGATTCCCACTCCAGGGCATCTAGCTTTTGAAGGTCATGTACCAGAAGGGCACGCTGCAGGTATGTCAGGGCCTGCATCCGCACCTGGCGCCGGGCATCGCAGCACAGGCAGGCGATACCTGACAGAGAGAGCAGGGTCAGGATCTTCCAGGCATTTAGTCTAGTGCTCCTCGAGCTTTAATGTCGCCACCCTACCTTGCATCCTTCTCCAGGTCTATTTACCTTGTAATAAAGGGCACCAGCAGTGAGCCCAGAGGGTGCGTGAATCGGCTTCAATCTTCCGGCCGCCTGTCTCCAGGTGGCGCTGCTCCTCTGCCCAGGAACTGTAGATGGAGGCTGCCCGAGTGTGCAGGGTGTGCATCAGGTCTAGCAACTGGGATCAGAAGAGCGCAAGTTGTGACTAAGGTTGTTCAGTTGGGTCCTTTCCCCCTCCCCCAACTCTCCCTGACTGAGTCTTCAAGCATCCTCAGCACAAGCTCTGCTGTTACTCCATCCCTCTCCCAACCTCCTCTTGCGCCAACTTGAGCTCATTGCTGAGAGACTGGCAGTCTCTCAGGGTAAAGACGGCAAGACTCAGTCACAGCAGAGAAGACTTCAAGCGACATGTGCACTGACCTACCTAGCACCATGGGATCACGCTGAGAAAGGCTCTTGGTTTATTTTTATGTGCAGGGTGTTTTGCCTGCACACCCATTTTATCTGTGCATCATGTGCAGTGCCTGTGGAGACCCTGGGACTGGAGTTCTAGACTGCTGTGCGCTGCTGCTTGGATGATGGGAAAAGAACCCGGGTCCTCCGGGAAAGCAGCCAGTGCTGCTAACTGCTGAGCCATCTGTCTGGCTCCAAGAAAGGCACTTTCAATCCTATTTCATACCTGCTGATAGTTATTTTTGTTAATCTCATTATATAATTAAAACAAAAATACTTATTTTGTTTGTGTGTGTGTATACCACAACATGTGTGTGAGGGGCAATTTGTAGGAATTGGATTTCTCTTGTCATTATCCACTTGAGTCATGTCAACTGCCCTTGTTGATCTCATTTTAAAGGCAAAACAAACAGGGCTAGTGAGATGGCTTAGCAGGTAGAATGCTTGCCATGCACCCTGGCAACCTGAATTTAATCCTGGAACCTGTATACACACAGAAGGAGAGAACTGACTAGCAAGGCTGCCCTCTGCCCTTCACACTCATGCCATGGTGTATGTGCCCACATACAATCATAAACAAAATTAAAGGCAAAGCAAACCTTAGGCTCAAAGGCTTTCATGGGCAATTGTGTTGAGCCAGATTTGACACATAAATTTCTTAAGACAGGGTTTTTCTTCAGAGCCCTGGCTTTCTGGAACTGGTTTTGTACACTAGGTTGGCCTTGAACTCAGAGATCTGCCTGCCTCTGCCTCCTGAGTGTATTTATCCTGTTTTTAAAAAAGATTTCATTATTTTTATTTTATACTGTGCGGGTATTTTGCTTGTATGTATGTCTGTGCATCTGTAGACAGACCATGTCTGTCTACAGAGGCCAGAGAGCATCACAGCCCCTGAACCTGGAGTTACAGGTGGCTGTCGGCTGCCATGGGAGTACTGGGAATTGAATTTGGGTGCTCTGGAAAAGCACAGTGCTCTTAACTTCTGAGCCATCTCTACAGCCCGAGTTTAGCTTATCCTTAGAAATTTGTGTGTATGTGTGGGTGTGCCCATGTGACTTCAGGTAGACCATGTGTGCACAGGTGCCTGAGGGGCTAGTGGGCACTACAATCCCTGGAACTAGAGTTAGAAGCAATTACAGCCGTGAGAAACGGTTGCTAGGAACTGAAGCTGGGCCACCGTCCTCTGCAAGAGCAGTAAGCACTTGTAACTGCTAACTAGCCCTCCTGCCCGCTTTCATCTTTCTAGTCAGATTAAGTCAGCCTGGACAGACACTTCATAACTATGGAGGGACAGTTATTATGTTAGAGATGTAGTTGTCTCTAGAAAGGGAACTCAGGGGCTAAATATAGGAATGAATAAAAACTCAATTCTATCAGTCTATCCTTTTGTATCTTCCGAATTTTGTGTCATGAGCATATATTATATATTAAATAAGTGAAGTCTTTAAATACATACCATATATGTGTGCGTGTGTGTGTACTAGGAGTTGAACTCAGGGTCTTGCACATGCTACCATTCTACCACTGAGAAAATCCTGAGCTCAATAAATATTAATTTAAGTTAGTGCCAGGTGTGATGGTACATGCCCTTAATCCCAACCCTCGGGAGGCACAAGCAGGTAGCTCTCTGTGAGTCTGAGGCCAGCCTGGTCTACACAGAGTTCCAGGTGAGCAAGAGCCACATAGTGAGACCCTGTCTCTAAACAAACAAGTGCACCATAAGCAAAGACTTATGGGTAGTTTCAGATAAGGGGAACATTGTGGGGGTGATGGCTGAGGGGATGGGCAGTTATTTCTTCTGAGTTCTGACTTTCCCTGGTCCCGCCCAAGTTCCGAGTTTCAGGTACAGGAGAAGAAATAAAGGGTGCCATACTTACGTCCTGACTGACCTGTAAAGACACCGTGTGGTAGCTGGCAGGCACACCTTCATCCTCCTCTTCATCACTGTGTCCACCCCGAGTGGCATGTTGATTGGAGGCTCGGGGCCGCCGAAGCATTGAGCCTTCCTTGGTTTTTTTCTTGAAGCGGTTACCTTTGCTGTCATATTTGTGATTCTTGCCACGTTTATCCTGGGACTTGCACCCTGAGCAGAGCCAGACTTATGTCACATTTCCACAATCTTAGGGCACAGATGCCTTTCTCCCCTCACCACCTGACCCACTTCCAACTGTCCCTTCAATAGCTGACTTACCACCATTCAGGCTGGCTTCTACAAAGATGCGGAGAGTCTTGACACAGAGTTCAAAGTTGTCTGGGGTGATGTGAGCAGCATCACGAACAATGAAGGACAGTGACTCCACACACTTAAGCAGGGACTTAGTGTCATGTGGTCCCAGGTCCAGGCCCACTGTGAGGCTGTACTGATTGACCAGGGGTGAAGGGCCTGGCCTGCTGAGCCCCGCTCCTGGTTTGGAGTTATCAATGTCATCCTTCCCAACCTGTAAAATACAATACAAGCTGGGGCCCTGTTCTAAGCCAGATGTCCTCTCAGAACCTTTCTTATCGGCCCAGGATGGTAGTAGACTCACCACTAACCAACCACTGTTGACCATGTCGGCATCTGTGGCTGATCGGTGTATCTTGCTAGGCCTGCCGTGGTCAGTGTAGACTTCTGAGTCGGAAGTGTACCCCCGGTCCAGGCTGACATCATTTTGATGGTAGAATGGGAGCTCACTGTCTGACTGTGCTCCTAAGCCAGGCAGGGAAAAGGCAGAGTAAGAGCAGAGATGGGACATGATAACATGGAACAGGGTAACAGACTTGGAAGAAAGGTGCTGAGGCCTGGACAACTTCTGTCTTGACCAAAGAAGCAGGAAGCTAATCTGGGCTTCTGATAGCAACTAGTGCCAGCTGTTAGGGAAAGGTGGCAGCATAAGGATGTATGTTTCTGTGAGATGGTCTTCACGACAGTAACATTTGGCTTGGCAGCCTTCAAGCACTACCTAGTTGCCTTAATGCTATCTAGCCTGTGGGGTGGCCAATCGGCATGGGAAGATCTGGAAGCAAATGGCAGAAACCAGGCGTGTTTAATCTGCTGAACATAAAAACCTCCGTTTTGTTTTCCCATAGCAGCTCCTGGGTCCTAACTGATTACCTTCCTGGGAAAGGGCATACCAGCATCAGGAGCATCAGCCCTGGCCGTGGCCTGTAGAGTATCTGGAGGCTTCACGCCTGAGCCGATGCACTCCAGCAACGTGAAGAGGGTGGCCCAGTCATCACCGGAGTGGATGTTGGCGGCGTTCGTCTTGAGGAGCTCATGCAGCCCATATGCCACCTGGTGGCTGACTCTGGACAGCACGCTGGGCTTCATCAGTAACAAGATGCGCAGGGAAAGCAGGACCTGGGGTGGGGTGGGGTAGGGCGTAGGAAGTGGGATGGACTTAGATACAGTTTCTTGACTAATCATCTCCATTAGCCAATTAGGAGAGTTTGGCTCAGATCAACTGTAGCTTGTCAGGTCTTGTCTTTTTCTCTTTTGGTGTACTGGAAATTGAATCTGGGGCCTTGATGTGTTAGGTAAGGACTGTACAGCTATGTTACACCTTTGGCCATGCTTCATTTTTTATTGGTATAATTATAACAACACATAAAACGGTTCCTTATATGTTTTTCCCAGTTTATCCAAAAGGCAATATGATACATAACTAACATGGCAACAAAGACAGAATTCACTATAATCCACTGGTTTTCATAGGCTTTCCCTAATTTTACTTGAATTCATATGTGTACTATGTGTACATTGATTTCTACATAATTTTATCACCTGTGTATGCTTGTCTGTCCCACAACATGGGATCCATGCTGCCACTTGATAGCCATTTTCCAATCCTTTTCTCCTGTCTCATTCCTAACCCTTAGCAATCTGTCCTCAGCTTTTGAAGTTCTGCAAATTCCAAAATGTTATCTGAATGGAATTATCGTTTGAGAATGGATTCCCTACCCGGAGATCTAGGCACGTTATTATACATCTGGTCTGTTGCTTTAAGTTGCTGAATAGTATTCCATGGTATGTGTGTACCATAATTTATTCTCCTACTGCAAGTCATTAAGGCTGACTTTAGATTTTGGCTTAGATGAATACAGCTTCAATTTTAAGGCTAAAATATGCCTTTATTTTTTTCTGGGATAAATGCCCAAAAGTGTATTTTCTGAGTTGTATGGTATGAATATTAGGTTTTATAATAAACTGCCAATAGAGTAGCTATATTTATTCCCACCAGAAATATATGAATAATTTACTTTCTCTGTATTCTTGCCAGCATTTTGTATTATCACTTTTAATTTTAGCTATTCTGGTAAGTACATAGTTATTTGTGTAATTTTTGCATTTTCCTAAGGGCTAACGCTATTTCATGTACTTATTGGCTATTTGAATATTATCTGTGAAATATCTGTTTCTATCTTTTACCTATGTTTTTCAGTTTATACTAGACTTTTCTCAAGTGTATGATTTGCAAACATTGTCTAATCTATAACGTATCTTTTCATGTTTTCAAATAATCTTTCATAGTCTCAAAGTTTTAAGCACTGGTTAAGTCTAATCTATCAATCCTTTTATGTATTGTGCCTTTAATATCAAGTAAAAAAACTTACTGGGCTGTGTGTGGTGATGGCACATGCCTTTAAATCCAGCACTCTGGAGGCAGAGCTAGGCAAATCTCTATATGAATTTGAGGCCAGCCTGGTCTACATAGTGAGTTCCAGGCCAGCCAAGGCTACACAGTGAGACCCTGTTTCAAAAAAAAAAAAAAAAATCAAAAACTAAAAACTAACTAGCTAAATAAATCTTTAGTCAGTTCATGTCCCCATGCCCTTATAGACCTATTTTGTAAGGGGCATGCCAATTACAAAAAAGAGTAACAGCCACTTGTGGGCAGAGGCAGGCACCTCAGTCCTTCAGTAGATGTTCCTTATACTGTCAAGGCTCTTTAGTCACTGAAGATACTTGTACAGTTACAAGAGCAGGAAGTGCTCACTTATCTTTCTATACCATTCTCAGCTTTACTTTGAAGCTGGTGTGTAAATACTTGAGGAAAAAGAATTTAGGGTCATGCCCAGAAGCAAAATAAGCCAGTTTTAGACTGTGATCAGATCTAAAATGAAAGATATGAGTTGGAGTATTTGTGTTCAGGCTTTTGATTTTTTTTTTTTTTTAAGGCGGATTTTTCTGTGTGTACCTTGCCTTTTTGGAACTTATTCTGTAGACTAGGCTGACCTGGAACCCTAAGATTCATCTGCCTCTGCCTTCCAAGTGCTGGGATTAAAGATGCGTACCACCACTGCCTGACAGCTTTTGTTTTTTTAAAAAGAAAATAAAGTCTATAATAAGCTAATAAAGCACATTAAAAATCTTTAGTTTTGGATCCTCAGGTTTCCTCTTGTAAGTGTTCTGCCTGCATGCATGTACATGTACCATGTGCGTGCCAGCTGCCCACAGAGACCAGAAGAAGGCACCATATCCTTTGCAACTGGAGTTACAGGTGGAGGTGAGCCACTGTGGAGTGCTGGGAACCAAACCCAAGGCCTTTTCAAGACAGCCAGTGTTTTCTACTGCTGACCCACCTCCCCATCCCCTTCATTATGTATTTAAATTTATCTGTTTAATTTTTCTACAAAATAAAGGTTTAAGTCAAAGTCCACTTGGGTAACTGAGACAGGAAGATGGTCATCTTGAGGCTACATAAAAAGACCTCAAGAAACAAAGCCAACTGTCTTTGTTAAGGTTTTATTGCCGTGAAGAGACACCATGACCATGGCAATTCTTTTGTTTTGTTTTTCAAGACAGGATTTCTCTGTGTAGCCTTGGCTATCATGGACTCACTTTGTAGACCAGGGTGGCCTTGAACTCACAGAAATCTACCTGCCTCTGCCTCCCAAGTGCTGGGATTAAAGGCATGCGCCACCATGTCTGGCTCCATAGCAGCTCTTATAAAGGAAAACATTTAATGGGACTGGCTTACAGTTCAGAGGTTTAGTCCATTATCATCATGGCGGGAAGCATGATACCATGCAGGCAGACATGATGCTGGAGAAAGCTGAAAGTTCTACATGAAGATAGGCAGGCAGCAGGAAGTGAACTGGCCTGGGCTTCTGAGACCTCAAAACTTGACACACCTCCTCCAACAAAGCCACACCTCCCAATAATGTCATTCCCATAGGCCAAGCATTCAAACACATGAATTTATGGGAGGGAGCCATTCCTTTTCAAACCACCACACCCAGAGTGAAAACACCAACCAAAAACCATTCAGCTGAACATATTTGTGTGAGTCTAACTCTAGGTCATCTATTTCTTCATCAATATTACAAAATTTAAGAATTATTTATATATATATGGTATTTTGCCTCTATGTATTGACTGTATGTCTGTCTGTG